CTGCAAGAAGGACACAGAGAGAGGGATGTGAGAGAGAGGCTGGGTGTAGAGAGGGTGGCTGGCCATGTGAAGAGTCAGGGGGCAGCACTGCAGAGGCCGCAAGCTGGAGAGGGAGATGGGCCAGGGTGGCTGGGGGGCAATGGTCAGGTGGTCTGAGACAGCAAAGGCCAGATCAGCTGGGGGGTGTGAAGGGAAGGAAGCCTCCTGGATTTCATGCCAAGCAAACACAAGGAGAAGCTATTGAAGGGTTCCACGCAGAGGAATGACACTCTCTGATTTACCTATTTAAGAAAACAATCACTCTGGTTGCCAAACAGAGAATGTGAGAGGACTGTAACCATAAGAGACAGATGCTGGTACTTTGAACTAGGGTGCGGCTGTGAGAAACAAGGGGATGACCTGCACACATGTTGCTAACAGACTGAATTCAAGGGATGAGGGAATGGGATGGAGGATAACTCCTAGGTTTTTGATCTGAGCAAGAGTTGACTATGAAGGCACTTCCTCAAATGTGGAAGCCTGGGGAAGGGAAAGGTTTGGCAGACCCCAAAACCTCCTTTAGGGACAAATTAGGTCTGAGGTTCGTTATGTTTTTAACTTAATTTTTTATTCTTCCAGGACACAAGCAAAGATAGTTAAGTCAAATCACAAAAGGCATTGAATGTTAACGTTTTCCAAAATTGTGCATATTCTAGTCGTCCCTTTAATGTCCGGGGAACTTTGAAGCAGAGCGAGTGAATGGCAAACTCTGCAAGTCGCGTATTTGGGAAGAGGATCGCTAAGAACATAACTCCATGATCCTGTTTTTCCACCTCTCCGACCCCTGCAGGGGGATGTGTTTGTGGCAGAAAAACTTCGTGGCTCCAAAGCGCGAAGAGGCAGGTTGAGCTGGCTGCAGAGGTCCCCAAATTCTCTGTCACCAGCGCCCTCTGATCCCAAGGTCCCCAAATTCTCCATCACCATCGCCCTCTGACCCCCAGCCATCTCAGGTTCCCCTCCTTCCCCCCGCCCCGACCGCACTCATCTCCCGCGCCGCCGACAGGGAAGGTCGCCCGCAGAGACCGCTGTAGAGATGGCGGTCCTTATCGGACCCGGCCAGAGACGCGACCCTTGGGCAAGAAGCACACCCCAGACTTTGAGGAGGGTGAAGGCGCGCTCGGCCATCCCGCATCACCAGGCCGCCCCCGGGCAGAGAGAGACTCTTGGACAGTCCCTTCTCAGCACACACGCACTCACACTCACACACGCACACTCACTCACTCAAACACGCGCGTCCACACAGCCCGCTCCAAATCGAAGGAAGGAGTTTTCTCCAAACGCGGAGGAAACATTTAGACGCCCTGGTGTATTTTTCTACTTCTGTTTCTTGCCTCTGCTTCCCCCGCCCCGGCACCGTCCTGCGCGCGGTTTCGGGGTTCCCCTCCCGGGCCCCGCACACCCCCCATCCCGCGGACTTGCCGGAGCACGCAGCCGCCCGGAGCGCGGGCCTGGGCTTCGGGGCCCAGGGCTCCACGCGGACCCGCTGCAGGAGGCGGCCAGGCCCCCGGACGGGGCGCGGGCCGGGGCAGCTTACCTGCGGCGGCGG